AGAACTATTACTGTTAAAAATTTAAAGAAAGCAGAAGTTAGGGAGAGTGATAAGCAACAATACTAAAAAAATTTTTAAAAAAATCCTCAAATTATACCTTTACTTTCACATGGAGCTGACAATCTTCACCTCTAAGGAACACTATCATATCTATTACCACTTAATATGAAATCATCCCTTGCAATACAAAATGATCTCCAGAAAAACCTATTTTACAATTTAATATAGATACTTCTAATATGCCATTTAAGGAGTGCTTTCCTCCTCCATCCTCAACTTCATCACCCTTCTTCTCAGAATAGCTACCTACAGTTAAGGCAAAAGCAACACTCAGTGAAGCACTGGCCACTCCAGAGGACCCAGCCAAAGCACATACAAGTTTAAGATGTGAAAATATGAACATTACCAATATATGCTTGGTATTTGATAAAGAAATAGATTTATTTATAAGAGGTTCTTAAATACTTATTTTACCCATCAGATAGAGAAAATCTCACTGGAATGCTTCTGATTTTTTACCGAGGTTTGAGTTTTTGAGGCTATCAATTAACATCAAAGTCATAAAACCTTTTTTATATGTCACCCACACCAATCACAGTTTTACACTTTCTCAAAAATCAAATTTGATTTTAGTGAGGCAACTAGCTGTATACAGAACAAAATATATCTGTATTTCATGAGTATTCTCCTCTCACTGAAATGTAGAGGCAAAATGTGAAGTCCATAATTCTCTCTAAAAAGCTTATAATTGATTTTTATTAAATTAGCACACACAGCATGTGTAATCTGATAGGAAAGACAAGCATTAATATCTTAATAACCCTCTAATAAACTGCTCATTTCCTCATCCTGGAACTGATTATTCACTAGAGGCATTCTCCACTCTTCTGCCTCTTCTGAGGGATCCAGAAGACTGGATCCAGAGGAGGGGATCCAGAAGAGTGTCCATTGTTAGAAATAAGACATCGGGACAGTTGGTCTGGGTCAGTATGGTTCTTCTGTAGTAAATCTTATAGTGAATCAATGCACTGACAATCAACTCCACCCAACAACTAATGTCACTCTCCAGCTGAGAACCTGCTAAGCTCCAGGGGGCATCACATACAGGAAATGTAAGGATAAAACATCAATGCCATTGCAGGTGGGATGGACATTGGGAGCTTTCAAACATCCAGCAGCCACACAGCCTGTTCAGAAATTCTCCAATGCTTTAGTACAGCTTGAATAAAGGTAAAGAAAAAAGAGGTACCAACAGTTTACAAGCACACTACACACTCAGCAATGATGACAGCAGTCAGTCAGGAGAGGAGTTAAAATTATGCATGTGGGGAGGGAGACGAGTCCTCCAGCACTTACATTTGATAGAATCGCTTATTTAGTGCTCAATGAATTGCTCTGCAAGAATACAAACGCAGCCTGGAAGCAAAGCACTTCTCCAATGGCAAAGTTTCTCAGTCAGGGAAGTGTTTAGACTTGGCAGCTCATACAGGCTATTGGCAAAGTTTTGTACTGAACTGTGTGTTTGTGTACCTTCACACTGAGATTCTGAAAATAAGCAACTTATGGGACACTATGATTTCTTCAAATATTTTAAGGCAAAAAACCCTGTGTGCTTTAAAATTGTAAACTCATACATTGAATAAGGCATGAGATTTATAGTAGGGATAGAATAAACTACTTTCACACTTCTGTAGCTCATCAGCTTCAAGAGCATACAATTCCCAGCCAAAGATTTCTAATGCAGTCTATTTTAATGAAAAGAAGTGAAACTATGTTTGTTTTCCTTGCAACTACTATTTGCAATGGGTTTAGCTTCCTGAGGGAAAAATACAACTACCAAAGAGGTTCTAAATACACTTTTAAACACTAAGGACCTAAAATTTCTTATAGTAAACTGAATCACAATTATTGTCTCTGGACTTGGACACAAGTCCTCAAGTAATTAAATTCAGTGATTTACAATCTACATGATTTTTGATGTATCACTGCTGCTGAGATGGCAAACTACAAACCACTCAGTGACTCAAAACACTTTAGTGGGGGGGGGGAAGGGGGGGGGAAATCCCAAACGCCCCAAACATTTTTTATTAAGCTTTTCCCCAGTGAAGTTTGTACATATTTGTGAATTACTAACAAAGTAAAACATAAAGGATTTAGGAATGACATTACTTAGGGTGTCAACATACTTCAGTGCTTAGTAGGTTCTAGAAATTTTGCCATCCAAGTATAAATAGAGTTCAAACAGAAAATAAGAAATTTGTGTGTTTACCCTGGACTTGTCACAGTCTTTTCTCTCACCTCTCACCAGGTTAAGTACAAAAAGCAATGTACAAGCATGCAGAAATCCAGCTTTATTGCTGGACAAGTGGGGCACCTAGATGGAGCACCTAAACAGAGACAGGGGTTTGGACTTTGGGGCTTTTTTGTTTGTTGGATTTTTTGGTTTGTTTAAATCCAAAAATTATTTTTTCTTACATCTATTTTTAAAGATGTCTGAGTATAAATGTTTCCATGTAAAATTTTCAACTTTTCTGAGAAAAGGAATGCATATTTAAGGATGCAAGCCCCAAGTTTCCACATATTGCAGCATACTTTTTTACCTGCTGGACAGGCCATCTGTCTTAAGACACTCTGAAAACATAATTCACCTTATTTTTTCTACGAGTCACTGCTAGATACCATTACTTAGTACTTACAGTCTACTTTTGCCAATAGGACTATTAAAACTGGCACTATATCCAAAAGAAAATGCTGATCCTGAGAAATTGCAACTCCTTAACAGGGCCCAGGAGGTAGCAGAAAGTTCTGGCACCTTGCAGAACTGCAAACAATCCCTGTACTTCAGAATCATTAAAGGAGATATTTTATCTACTTCTAATTAAATTCTCAGCAACCTGATGATTGTTTAACAGCCTTGGCAATAGAAAGTGAACTGGAAGTACCAGCTTCCATCCATGCAGGGAGGCCAGGAGCTATCAAACTGGCAACCATGATGGCAGTACTGAACATATTTGAACTTTGTGCATATATATGGCAGTGAAATAAATACACATTAGGGTGTGTCTATATATATATATTAGGGTGTAATACTTTCACATCGACAAAAAAAAAAAAAAAATCACCTGTTTCAGTCAGAAAACTGGATTACCTATTCTTCACCAGACTAGGACCAAATTTTCCTCACAGGCACTAAGACCAGATTTTTCAGCCGAGCATTTCTAACACTGAATTCTCTCCACTGGGTAGATGTGGCTGGTGATGAACAACTATTTTTTCCTGCTCTATGGTATGTATGTGCTATACTACAGTTTAGAAGGTGTGAAAGTATAAAGCCTAATCCAGGAAGAGCATGGAGCTAACCCACAAAGGTTGCAGGCTTGATTCTCATTCACTTAAGAGCTGGACTCGGTGATCTTTGTGTGTCTCTTCCAATTCAGAATATTCTGTAACTCCTGTATGCTGTAACTTAAAATTAAGCAAAACCCTTCCTCTTAAGCGCCTCATCTGACCCACCCTTAAGGTATGGTGTTCAGAGGCAAGATGTATGATGTGTGAGAGGAAAACAGTAGCAATGAGCCTGTCCCTGACTGCCCTTTATTTTAGAACAAGCTTCATTTTATTTCTTAAAACCAGGTGGGTTTTCTGTTAGGTTGGCCTTTCTGGTTATGCTGAATCACACTTTTTCTGTGAATATTACAGCTGCTTAAAAGCAACCCAGCTGTAAAAGCAAAAAAGCTCTCCTTGGTTTCTTCTTGAGAGTTTTACAGTTTGGTTAATTTTCCTTTAACCTGACCTCAGGAGACCTTCTCAGGCATACACACATACATACACACAGAGACACATAAGAGCCTCTAAGGAAACTCTGTAGTCAAGCACCAAGACTAATAAAAGCACTATTCATCTAACTAATATATGGACCTTTTAGTGATGAGTCAACCTCTCCAATAAAACTAGAAACAGTTTTTTGTCAATTTATCCAACTCAGAAATAAGCAAAATGACTGTATACACATTCTAATGCAGATGTAATGGTACTCTGACTTACACAGCTAATGTGCAAGGTGAAATTTGGGGCTAAGGGTCTGACCAAAGTTTGATGTCCGCGGTGTGGTTTATGATTTACCTTTTTGACTATTTTTCATTTTGGCAGAAAATTCAGAGCTTGTCATGCCAATTTAACTATTATACTATCTGAACTTTGCATCTTTATAAGTTGCACAAACACCTACTCGGCTTTATTTTTTCCAGATTAGTCTTACACGTTTAGAAAGTTCCATCAAGCTGAATTACCATTCTTAAGCAAACTGGAGATGTGACAAAAAGGTTTTGCTGTGCTATGGCATCTCTTAAAAAAGCTGGCTGCATTCGCTGATGCAGAGCAGGGAGGAAACTGCAGTGGCATGTTACAGCTCCAAGAGGAATAGGAGCGATAAAACCCATTTTCCACCTGCCAGGGGAAAAAAGGTTGGACAGCACGAATAGCGGGGGTTGCCCGCAGGAAAGGGGATGGGGTATCCGTGGGAAAGAGGACTGGAAAAGAAGGAGGGTACCAGGAAAAGAGGAGCACGGCAGCAGGAACTCGCATCAGAGCGGCTTAACTTTCAGCAGCATCCTCCTCCTCCCCGGGCTGCTGCTTCCCCCTCCCCTCTCCGGAGGGCACAGAGGGGATGTTTCCGCGCCCCGGGGCCGGCTCTGCGGGGGTGGTCGGGGCGCTGGCCGCCCCCCGCCGCCCCGAGGGAAGAGGAAGCGGCGCCGGGCCCGCAGGAAGTGCCGCTGCCCCGCACTCGCCGCCCCCGGCCCGGCCCGGCCCGGCGGCCGCTGTGCGGGGGCGGCCCGGGCGCTCGGCGGGCGCAGCGCCCTGACAGGTGGCAGCGGCGAGAGGCCTCCGGCTCCGCGGGCAGCGCCCGGCAGGATCGCCCGGCACCCGCGGCGGGCCGCGGCGAGGGCTCGGGCTGCCGCCTCCCCTCCGCCCAGCGGCGCACCTGCCCTGCCCACCCCTACCTTGTTGAGGTGGGGGTCGCGGAGCACCTCGTAGCCCCTCTTCATGGTGAGCTGCAGGGGCCGGCCGGCGTTCTGCCTGCTCTCGGCTGCCTTCCCTGCTTGCATGGCGCGGCGCGGCGGGGCTCGCTGCCGTCAGGTCTCTGCGGGAGCGGAGGCGAAGTGACGGCTCCTCCTGCCGAGGTGACCGCCCGGCGGGGTGGGATGATCCTGCCGGGAGGAGGGAGGGAGAGAGGGAGGGGGCAGAGCCAGGGCGAGACGCCGCCACCGGGAGAGGGTCACCGGGGCGCCGCTGAGTCACCGGCAGCTCCGCGCACACCCGGGCGGCCGCCCAGGTGCGGGGGGAGGGGGGGCGCAGCGGTGCGGACCCGCGGCCCTGCCCGCCGGTGCAGGGGGTGCGGGCTGCGCTGCCTCTTAGCGCTGCAGAGAACCGCTCGGGGCCGCCCTGAGGAACAGGCCGGTCTGCGATCACCTGCTGAGGGGGAATCGCAGCCGCGGGTCTCCCTCGTCACTCCGCGTTTGGCGCAGGAGCCGCGGTACCCAAGCGGGGAAGCGCCGCGGAGCATTGTCAGCACCGCGCCGTGACACAGCCCGGCCGCGACCCCGCGCCCCAGCTGGGCCCCCTGGGTGCGGCCACACGCAGGAGCTGGGCCTCTGCGCTCGAACAACAGTCGAGTTTCACTTTCCTTCTGCAATTTAAATGGCCATGCAATCCAATCTTTCCCGAAGGGGACAGGCTGCATAGCTTCGTACGATCAAGAGCAAATGTTTGATGTAATTAGCTGTGTGTTGGCTTCAGCTGTGGTGGTTGGGGTTATGCCTGGTCAGGATGGAGAGCACTGGAGCAGAGCAGGTGTTCAGCTGGTTTGTACTGCTAGCTCTAACATTTGTTTGCAATATGTTCTGAAATTCTTTGCATACAGCCCCTTGTTTACAGTATGACTGTGGCTTTATTCCTCTATATTCATGTATGTAAGCAAAGATAATTTCCATATGAATGCCATAGTCCTTGTGGAGAAATTATGCTTCTTGAAATGTGTGACTAGAAGATTAATTTAGAAGAGTTTGGTTTCTGTTGTCAAGTAGCAATGAACAGATCAAAATTTTGTGGCTCTTTCAAGCTTACTCTTCACATTTAATCCATAGGCCTTGTATCTGTATAATTATTTCACATTTTATTAAAAAAAAAAAAAAAAAGCTCCCACAGAATCTGGCTTTTCCTGAACTTTCTGTTAAGTAGCTCTTAAAATTTTGTTTGCAGTTAGCTGACAAAGGAAAGTTGGAAGGGTTCCAAGTCTCTATTTCTGGAAACTTGATTTCCAAGTCAGCACAAAATTCAGTAAATAAACTTCTCCCTTGCTCCATCATCTCAGTATTACAGAAAGCAGTAAACTAAAACTAGAAAGTTTCTTCAAAACTTTAAACCTGGAGCCTTTCTGACTAAGATATCCAGCCTTCCTTGGATTTGTCTGGATAGCTAAATACCTGCTTACCCAGCCAAGTCCTAATTATTACCATCAATAGGTATTAGGGATAAGGGGAGGGGGGGGGCGGGCAGGGTGTAGCATTGCAGGTCTTTCTTAGTTACAAAATTGAAAAGCAACATAGAAACACCTTTTTTCTTTTCCTTGTGGCTGCACTGAAACCGTTTTGATAGAATGCTGACCTGATGCAATATTTTATCTTCATGTTGCAACACTGTCTATAAAAAAAAATCTCTTTGATTTATGCCAAAAGTCACTGCAATCACTGTGAGTACCTGCTCAGAGGTCTGACCCATGCTAAGCACTTGTCCTGACTTGCCCTGCACCGGTTACAAAAGGTATGTAATGAAACAGCTAATTAAAGTGAAGTTCACTGGGATATATACATATTTTTTATGTAATCAGGCTTCAGAAACCGTTTACTATTGTGCTTTAAATACAAATTTACTCCTCCTTCCTAAAAATACAATTTATTTCTCTTTGTTATCTTCAAACACTAATAAAAACTAAATCATAACTATCTACTGAGATAAATGAATTGTAAGAATGGCAGCAGACCTTTTCAGCTCAAAAGGAAGACCAAAAAACCAAGGAAAAGTAATGTCTCCTGTCACCTGTAGAATCTTCCACTTAAGGCCCGAAACATTTTATCACGTAATGGGATTAGTACAGATTTATTTGTCTGAGTCTGCTGCTAGTGATTGCTTTTCTTCCTAGTCTTTATACCCTCCTGCAAATTTTGTTGAGCATTTGTACTGCATTTGCAGAGAATCTCTGAGCAAGAGAACTTTTAGAATGGCTCTTCCAGGACCTCACAATATTTGAACTGCAAAAATAGTTCAGAATAATCCAGAAGGGTAATGTTCAGCAGTTACATATGCAGTCAGAGGTCATTATTCCAAAACAGGACTGCATCGCATAATAAGGCTGTATTACAGGACTATAAATAAATCTTTTGTAAGTGGCCAAATTATTTGTAATGGCTGTGTACCTGATACAGGTGTTTTTGTAAATATTAGCCCACATTCACATTATTAGAGAGCATCATACATTATCAACGTGTTTCTGACAGAAAATACAATGGCTTTGCCCTTCTGGCAGGCACCTAATTATTTTTCTCAAATGGTTTCTATATGGCACACTTTAAAAAATTCTACTCATGATGTTTCGTAAGTGCGTATGATTTCCTCCCACACCTGTACTTCTTGTCTCCCTCAAATCTCCTCAGATGTACTAAAGATATATGAAAAGCTCTACTTGAAATAGTCCTAGGAAAAGACTAGAAGGAACACTTAGGGTGCGATTTAACCCCAGCCAGCAACTAAGTATTATACAGCTGCTCACTCGCTCCCTGCACTGGTGGGGTGGGAAGGAGAACTGGGAAAAGGTAAAACCCAGGGGCTGAGATAAGAAAAGATTGATAATCAAAGCAAAGTAAAATATAATCTAATAATAGTAATTAAAAGGGAGGTAACAAAAAGGGAGGGATAAAGCCTAGAAAAAACAAGTGATACACAAGACAATTGCTCACCACTTACTGAACAAAGCCCAGCCTGTTCCTGAGCAGCAATCAGCTCCTCCCAGTTTATATACTGGGCATGACATTTTATGGTATGGAATATCCCTTTGGCCAGCTCAGGACAGCTGTCCTGGCCACGCTCCCTCATGGCTTTTTGTGTGTCTCCTTGTTGGCAGAGTATAAGAAAAAGAAAAATCCTTGACTTAGGGCGAGGACTGCAGAGCAACAACTGAAACATCAGCGTGTTATCAGCATGATTCTCCTGCTAAATCCACAATGCAGCATTGTACCAGCTACTAGGAAGAAAATTAACTCCATCTCAGCCAAAACTAGGACAACTGGTCATCAAGTGTACCTTTGTATCTCAAGCTAGTGTTAAAAAGCTTCAATAAATGAGACTTGACAACCTGCTTTGGCGATCCAATAGTAGGGAGAGGTAAGTACAGGAAAGTATATTTCTTTATTCCTGAAGGAGTTAATTAAGATGATTCACTCTCTTTAAATATATAAGAACAGAACTTGGGAAGCATCCTTCTGTTAGGCTATGGGTGATCAGAGGATGGTGGACTCCCTTGAACCACTTTTGAGTTTGGGAGCTCCATATCCTGCTGTGGCACTGGGGAGGAGTTAGCTTCCAGGGCTACCACTTTGGAAGAAAAGAAAGGGACCTCCTATGTCCTGACGTAAACATCCAATTAACTGCTTTTTTTATGGTGGTACTTGGCTATCATGTCTGACTCACCCCAACAAGAACTGTAGTGAGTCTATTACCAACTGATGGTAACTGCTGGGTGCTCACTGTGGATCATGGTACTCCAGCCAAGACTTCCTCAGCCCTAAGTCAATGGAAGCCTTTACTTCCCCTGTTCTATCATTGGCAATTCCCTTCATACTGCTCAGCACAATGTTTGCTTTTTTTTTGCAGTAGTGCAACACTGTTAACTTCTTCTGGGTTTGCAGTCCAGTATAACGCCATGTCCTTTTCTGCAGGGATGGAGGCTGAATGAGTTCATAGAATCATTTAGGTTGGAAAAGACCTTTAAGATCATCGAGTCCAACTGTTAACCCAGCACTGTGAAGCCCAAGACTAAACCATGTCCCTAAGTGACACACCTACACAGCTTTTAAATACCTCCAAGGACAGTGACTGGATAAAGGATGGACATGCTCCTTAGACCTCCTTTTGTCACTAATGTATTCATAAAACCATTTATTTCTGTACATTTGTTTATTGTGTTATGAATTTTTATGGAGTTATAAATTTGTTCGTTGTGTTGGCAATATCAAGTCAAATTTCACAGAGACACGAGGTTAGCTTTAAAAAAGGTGAATTGTTTAATGATTTAAAAACAGAATTGAAGCATTTTTAAAGCCTATAACAAACATTTTACAGTGTTAGCACTCTTGACTTGTGCTTGGTATTTGAAAATGAAGTTAATTATTGGGACATATGTTTGTAGTTAGGCTGAAGGAGAAGCAAAAATTAAACAGTATAAGCAATATGAGGTTATGATTTAAGTCTGACTCTTTTTATTATCTAGAAGTATTGTTTGTAATAAGGTGGATTTAAAAAAAAAAAAAATTACTTTAAACTAGACAATTCACTCCTGAAGTTAAGAGAAGAATATAATGGTAGCTTTAAAGTGTTCAAAGTGACCTACCCTGAGGTTACCGCCTGCTCTGCCTGTCCCTGCCCACACTCCCAGGACTCCCACCCACCCTGGCCATGGTTCAGCACCCCATATCACACTCTCAAGGCCATCTATCACTGCCTCAGTGACATCACAGCCCTGCTTGTGCATGGCCATAGGATCCACTGTCCTCGACCCTGACCACCTGCGGGCTGACTTCCCAGTTTGGCTTCAGTGACCTTGTCACTGTGAAGTCACTCAGTGATCACAAGGCTGTATCTGACCCTGATTACCCTCACTGGGCCTTACCCTGCTTCTCTTCCTCAGCTCAACCTCAGAGAAGCCTCAGCAGTGCCACAGACAAGGACATGGAGCTGCCCTCAGCTGCTCCCAGCCCTTCCTCCTCCTTTGTGGGTGCTGAGAAGAGCTCTGGCTGATGAGACCTTGCCTGCCATGCTGGCCCACACAGGGAGCCCCTGGCCCCCACCACCACACCCTGGCATGGCAGATGGGTTGGAGAAGGCAGAGCCAGGCTCTTGTCACAGATGAGGAGTGCAGTGCCAAGAAACAGCAGTAGCAAGGCTGCACCCGGAGAATGTCCAGTTGGGCTTAAGCACAGCATTTTCCAGCATAAGGGTGGTGAGCACCAGAGCAGGCTGCCAAGAGGGGTCAGGAGTTTCATGCCTGGAGCTTTTCAAAATTTGACAAGGCCCTGAGCAATCAAGCTTTGAAGTTCAGCTTGTTATGAATAGCAGGCTGAGCCAGATGAACTTCAGATATCCTTTCCAACCTGGACTGTTACGTGATTCTGTACACTGCTGAGAATGGTAAGTTCTCTGAACATGCAGGCATTTCTACAGGAATTTCATTATAGCCCCAAAAGTCTGTTCCTCCTCATGAATTCACCAACTTTCTTTTAATTTACTCCTCAATTTCTGTCTCGTTCTGCTTTGGCATATATCTGTTTGACCAGTGGGATTTTTACTCAGCTGCCTTCATACTCCTCACACTTTTATCCCTTTCTGCTGAGGATTTTATCCTACGTGCCTTAAATTAAACTCTTGAACTTCAACAACTAGTGATAAATATCTTAAGACTCCAGAATTTTGGAATCCAGTGCCAGATTCATAGAGATACTAAAATTATTTTAATATCATACATACATAACATATATAAAGATCAATAAAACAGTAAGAATGCTAGCTGCAATTTCTATTAGTTGACATTACATTGTTCAGGTGTCACAGGAAAAGAACCATACCTGGCCTATACATGCTGTTGGAGCACTGTGAGAGAATGTCCATATATAGAGGGTACCATTAGGAACTTCCATCAGTTCTGTGGCTGGTCACCAGTGGTGTTCCCCAGGGGTCAGCGCTCGGCCCAGTCCTGTTTAACATCTTTATCGATGATTTAGATGAGGGGATTGAGTCCATCATTAGCAAATTTGAGATGACACCAAGTTGGGAGGGAGTGTCAACCCGCTGGAAGGCAGGAGGGCTCTGCAGAGGGACCTGGATAGGCCAGAGAGTTGGGCTGATTCCAATAGGATGAGGTTCAACAAGGCCAAGTGCTGGGTCCCGCACTTTGGCCACAACAACCCCCCGCAGAGCTACAGGCTGGGCACAGAGTGGCTGGAGAGCAGCCAGGCAGAAAGGGATCTGGGAGTTTGGATTGACAGGAAGCTGAACATGAGCCAGCAGTGTGCCCAGGTGGCCAAGAAGGCCAATGGCATCCTGGTCTGTGTCAGGAACAGTGTGGCAAACAGGTCCAGGGAAGTGATCCTTCCCCTGTACTCAGCGCTGATGAGGCCACACCTTGAGTATTGTGTTCAGCTCTGGGCCCCTCAGTTCAGGAAGGATATTGAGGTGCTGGAGCAGGTCCAGAGAAGAGCAACGAGGCTGGTGAAGGGACTTGAGCACAAGTCCTATGAGGAGAGGCTGAGGGAGCTGGGGTTGTTTAGTCTGGGGAAGAGGAGGCTCAGGGGAGACCTGATCACTCCCTACAATTCCCTGAGAGGAGGTTGTAGCCAGGTGGGGGTCAGTCTCTTCTCCCAGGCAATCAGCAGTAGGACAAGAGGGTACGGGCTTAAGCTCTGTCAGGGGAGGTTTAGTTTGGATATTAGAAAGAAGTTCTTTACAGAGAGAGTGATCAGGCATTGGAATGGGCCGCCCAGAGAGGTGGTAGATTCACCGTCTCTGGAGGTTTTTAAGATGAGGCTGGATGTGGCACTGAGTGCCATGATCTAATAATCACAGTAGGGTTGGATCAAGGGTTGGACTTGATAATCTCGGAGGTCTCTTCCAACCCAGTTAATTCTATGATTCTATGATTAGGAACTTCCATCAGTTCGCAAGTTAGATGTAAATTCAGGAGAGACACATAGAAGTAGTTGCATGCCTACATAGCCAGTCATTTGTGCTTCACAGTATGCCTGGGATAGAATGAGAATTTATTTCTCCCACATCCCAGTGTTAACGTTTTGACTTGAAGACTGTGTATTTATTTGTTATTACTGTAAATCTAGCACAAGGCAAATAAAATATGTATGCCACAGTGCATCATGATCTCAGAAGATATTCTGGCTGCATTTATGATTCAAGGAGATTAAATAATGTTCAAAATAAGCATCCTACCTTTTTTTCAGTGTTTGTCCAAACAGTGCAGTTTCCTAAGAATTTTTCCATTTCTACCAAAAAAAAAAAAAAAAAAATTCACTTTTTGTCTCTTAATTCCACAAGAACAGAGCCATTGTGAGCAATAATAGTGCTAATAATAATGCTTCTATTTTGAATATACAGACATTTTGGAGTGACTTAAATGACCTACACAAAGGCATGAAAAATCACATTGCTTCTCTTCAAACTATACAAAATGTTTCAAGCTAATCTTCCTTGAAATATCCTTTTAAAATTAATTTCCTGATTTGGCTGGTGATGAGGAATGTAAAATATTTCTAGATTCCCAAGCCTGCTTATCTGAAGGACAGGAAATCTTGATAGTGCTATCTTTTCATCACTAATGCAAATACCTATATTTAACACTGCACATAGTTTTAGAAATTTAGATGTGCACACTTATTTCCATCTTAAATATTTTAGAGATATTGTGTGGAAGAATGTTTCAGATTACTAGAATTAAAAATTTTTAGACTGGTTAACTGTCTCGGAAAAAAATTTTCTTGGCTTTCTTTTAGTTGCACTAACAATGAATTCAGAGATGACGATTGTTCAGTGCCAAAATTAAATTACTATGACTTTGTGGAATGATTTATATCTTAGTACTAGGAGTTCACTGTCTTGCTAGGAATAATAGGATTTAGAAAAACGCCCCAAACAGCATTTTTACTTGAGTTACTCTATCAGATCTATGTTCCAGCAATAAGAGTGGAAAATCCGCAAGACTCCTCCATTGTTTATAGAAAAAGGATGAATTCTTTCAGCTCTGCCAGTTACAGACATAATTTCAAACAACTTCAGCACCTTTAGGATAATTTTGGAATAGTATTTGTGCGTGCAATTTCATTGTTTGCTTCCATGGTTATGTCTGGCACAGTAATTTTAACAGTTTAGCAACAGACAAAGCATGCTAAGAAATTTTCCTCTTTTAAATGCTTCCTTTCCTATACACTGGAGCCTGTGAAGGGCTTTTTCTTTTCCACGTGCTAATTACCATAAATATTTTGAAGATTCTTCTACAAACTCTGTTTTGTTTTCCAAATCATTAGCAATGTTAAAAACAAACCTTCTGACAAAAATGTTGGCAGAAGCTCAAAGACAATTCCTAGTTCATCAGAAGCCCTTGC